AGAAAACAACTTGAATACATTTTATACCGAATTCTTCAGTTAATTTAAACTTTTAGAGACGAGTTTGTATTGTATTCCATTTAATTAGTATCGGCAAAATAGGAAAATAGTGACAAGTGATAAAAACTAATAAAATTATTGCGTCTTACGAAAGTTTGCAGCCAATGCTTCGTGACTCAAATTTTGAATTGAGTCGTTTATCAGCACAAAGGACCTGACAGGGCTATCAAGGAACCGATTTCGTCAAAAAGGCCTGCTTCTAGAAGAAAGCCGTGTACTGAACTACTGCATAATCGTGTTCGATGAGTCAAACGTTGAAAAATCAAATATTTGTATTTTGGCTTTAATAATATGCCTAAAAGTTAGAAATGTGAAATTAGTAAGTAATAAATTTAACGGTGGTAGGGCCACGCAGCAGCCTCGGCTGTTGCACGAATGGGCAGGCTCGTCCGGGTAAGACCACGAACTCACAGAAGACCGGCGTAAAGTGGTAATACTTCCGCGTTTCGTCTGGTGAGTGAGGTAGCCGGAGCCCAATTTTCAAAAGGTTGTCAACGCACCTGCAGCCCTCGGGTGTAACAGATTATTCAACGGCGGTATTCACTTAACATCAGGTGAACCGTCTGCTCGTTTGGCAACGTTTCACATAAAAAAATTACGTTCACATAATTTCATAGCAACAGTGAGATGCCTTCCCTAAAACCAGCAACAAGCAAGGAAGAAACCTGAAACCCTTACTTTTAATCCATTTGATGACCGAATTTCTGAAACTTTACTCAAATGAATAATTTATTAATTTGCCAAGCACTTGCTTACGTCTTTGTCCTGGCCTTTAATGATTGTCCTGGAAGAGAAGGCTAGGTTTTACTTGGACATTGAAAATGTAACGTTCTTCGTGGGCTGTATAACGTGTGTACGTGGGAACATGAAATTAAATAAGCAATTTCGGTAACCAATATCATTTTAATTGATTTCATTGTTTTATTCGTTTAAAAATTGTCTTGATTAGTCATGATTGGTACATAGTTATATAATACTAATGATAAAAATATTCGTACTTGTCAATATAAGATAGGTACAGTATGAAATTCGTGTAACAAATTCAAAGACGAATAAAAATTGTTGCTTATATATATCTTTTCATTATAAAATCGATAATAGTGAAAATAATTACAAAATTAAATCTTATATAAAGAACAACAAACAGTGCCGTATTTATCCTTACAACTCCATTTAAAACAAATAATAAACTTCATAAGTACACAAAAATATGGACTTGTAACCAAAAATTATCTTTGCTCAACAAATGTTAAGAATATACATGGATATTATACAATATAGATAGAATATCAAAGAATGCCTTATTGATCAGTTACGACATATTAAGAAATGCATACATCAATAAAAGACAAATATTGCTCTGCCATAATATAATAAGTTTAAATTTTCGGGCGGGATTTCTTCAAACGAAGTAATCGAAATGCATTATTTAATATTATCATAATAGTTTCCAGGCACGCATTAAATGCTTCAAAGTAGGTCACTACATATTTTTTTGATCTTTCAGATATTCGATTACTGATTTAATTGATATGTAAGCATTAATTTTCATAGCAATAAAACACAGGAAATTTTATTATCAAAAGTAACAAAGGGGCAGGATTTTTTTAAGTTATGTCTTTTTGACAACATCATTTCATTAGGAAAAACGAGAAATAGTCATATTTTGAATAAAAGACCGTACCATAATAGAACATCACTATTTGAAATGGACCTGCTACTATACCGTTGTACCTACCCAGCTCGACATCGAGCCGTATTCATACCTAGAGATATACATTTTCACAATCTAACTAATCAATTATGTATCCTAAAGGGATATTTTCAATATTATACTCCATAAACGCGCACATAGATCTACAATCGTATATATGATACAAAAAATAGAGAGTTATATACAATTGGCACAAACATTTCAATAATTGATTGCGAAACCTACAGAGTTACAGTCAATGGCATAGTTCTCGTTATTCTAAAATTATATCGTATAGTAGAAATTACTTGAATTATCAAGCTATAAGGTTTTAAATCATTAAAACACTTGTTGTATAAGTGACGGCACTCATCGGTGCTTGTTCAAAATTGCATTGGTACATTATTTATCAAAAGTAGTAAATTTTTTGGTCAATGAAAATCACATATCGAAAATGCGCACATTACATTAAACAGTAATGTTACAACGAAAGTTTTGGAAGACAGGAGTCGATGCAGCTTTGAGAAGACTATATTAATCATTCATCAATAATATAACAGTACAAAATACGTAAACTTAACAAATTGAATTCAACATATTTCGTATTCCTTACGACCTTAAACGATTAAGAAGTGAAAGAAGGAAGATATTATTAAGCAGAATTTTAAAAAGAAAACTCTTTAATTATACTTTGTCATAGAAAAAGAAAAGATTTCATCATGTATTCCTAAAAATAGGTGTACTAACAGAAAGCTAAACGTCATGTGACTTAAATACGTTTTTAAAATGCAAAACAAGGACGTGGTCGAATGTTTTCGTTTCATATAAATTATAATCACATAACGGTACACATACTGTTCTGTCTGTTCTGTATAGTTTAAGTACACAAATTGAGTCGAGAAATTAGTTTGATAATTCGCAAATAAAGATCACAGCGTGTACAATATCTTCGTCATGTTGACATTGAATGCAAGAGAGCATTGTCCGATTGAGCGCCGCTGATGACAAAGTAATTGTTTACCACAATAGTTCTACACATAGCCATAAGTGTGATGAATACAATTTCAAACGCTACGTCTACAAATGTTCATGTTTCAGTTCTGTTCTTAATTATTTTATTTCAATTCTTCAATAATAACGGTAAAACAACCGTTATTGGATGAGATTTTTGGACACCTTTAACCAAAAACTGGATTTTAACTTCCCACAAGCTTTTTACCTCGCAAAATAATCTTGTAATAACGAATCGACGATTTTTACGGAACAATACAAGTTACGCGAAATAAAATAATTTTTTAACTCGTCAATAATTACCTCGATCACAACAGCTGCGCTCGGAAACTCCAACTAGTGTTAAGGGAATCTTCTTAATAAGTCTTTAAGACTGAACTTCGCAAATTTACTAATTTATCATTTGTTTAATTAGAATTGAAGTTTCTGATACTGCCGTAACACCAGAAAACTTAGTTAGGTCCGCGTATAATAGTATACAGAACTGATTGAAAGGTTGAACAAAGTTTCTTCATTGGAGAATGACGACGAAACTATCGCGAGGACCCTTTACTTCAGTTTTCAGTATAGAAAATATAAAGTGTCTCAACAAAAATTAAATAGAGCACTGAATTTGACGTAGTACAGTTAGAACAGCAATATATAACAAACTTCTTAAAAAAATGTTAATGAGCCCCAGCTTTGGTTGATAACATGCAACAAAACTTAAGACTATGTGGAGGCACTGTTCTCTATTGCTATATCGGGACGCAATATGATAATTACTCTCCCATCAATTACAACTACAAATAAGGTTTAATTTATAATTAAATTAAACTTTTTCAATGTATGCGAAGAAAACAAATAAACAATATCTGGTGATAACACAATAATATTAGGAAGTTAAAAATCAGTTTCGCGACATCATCTCCGCGAATGCTGTGAAACATACGAAACATTGGAAAATCAAAATACAATTTTTACAATAATATTCGGTTAGATGTATAAAAGTTAACTAAACCTAGTTTCGTGAACATAAAATAAATTACGACAACTAAATATTCAAAGACACTCGCAGCACTAAACACTACAACAGCTGTATAGTACTCTAATATAACGCCGCGCGGCCTACAAACATGGCGCAGTCTAAAAATACAGTAAGTAAACATTCCAAAACTACATAGAGACGTCTAAAAATACGATAGTTAAGAAACGACAACTACGAGATATAACAGTCTAGTTTTACAACAGGTATCACTGGATCTGTCATGTGCTAACAAAAGCTTAGGAGTGGTTAATTAACGATTGAGCAAAATTATTTCTGTTGATTTCGTAAATTTCAATAGAACTGGACTAGACGGCCTTTCACTGCTGACACCAAAGAGTAGGTCGAATATTGACACAGATAAGACACTGCAGTAATTAATATTTAAACAAAAAACTTTACCCAGAGTCTTTTGTTTCGGAAGAACTATACAAAAATTCATTAATTCTATCCGATTCCCACACAAGCACCAAAAACATGTTTACGTTTTATTAATGTAGAAATTCCTTATCGGCTAAATTGTTATCACACACAACGCCAGACAAACGTTACTAAAATTTTCGATTAACATAAAACAAAATTATTTCTCTAATAGCCTAGCAACATTTCTTTTACTGCACTGAAGAAAGTGAGCAACAATAAAGAATAATTATTCACAAGGAATATTAAAATGAGAGCCAAGAGTTTACATGTGTATATGACATTATAGTAAATATATTCCACAAAACAAGATTAATTAAACATTGTATATAGTTACATACAACACAATTATATAATTAGTAATAAATCGTCTATTATGTTTTCGACATGAATAAAACATACTAAATATAATATGAGAACTACGAAGACAAAGTTAATTCTAATTAAGACGATGTCAAAAACTTGCTTTGGCCACATGGCTGTGGTGTGACCAAATTCACAGAAAAACAAAAATTTTAACGCGTATTCGTATAAAGAATCTCTCCTTAGAGATTTGTCACTGGTGATAGTTTTTCGGCGGCTTATAACTGGCGACAAAGGCAACGCGATCATTTCTTTACTCTTTCTCACTCGTATATACCCTCTCTTTCTCTCTCTCTCTGTCTCTCTCTTTCTCCCTCTCTATTTCTCTCTCTTTCTCCCTATCTCTTTCTCCCTCTCTATTTTTCTCTCTCTCTCTCTCTTTCTCCCTCTCCATTTTTCTCTCTCTCTCCCTTTCTCCCTCCCGCTCTAGATCTGTACGATTTTGCGGCGCCGCGTGAACGCCAGCGCGTACTCCACCGCCCACACCAGCACGCAGGACATAATGAGGGCGTTCTGCACGTGTATGCACATTGAAAAGCTGTCCGTGTAGTCCCTGACGTAACCTGCACAGAAACGTTTCGCTACAGTTCATCATCGCACGGGTCGTGATGTCTAATTTAATGTCACCATCTTCGTTTTAATATCAAATCATGAGGAATTGAGGGGCGTCTTAAGCAACTTATATCTAATATCTTCAACACGGGACAAGCATTTGTGTGGCCCACAGATAATTGTTCCGGATCTGGGTGTTTGTTACCCAAGGAGGGTTGACGTCAGGCAGGTGGCCGGTCGTAAAACCATAGCCAAAACCGCTTACAACATGATTCACATGTTGTGCCGACCGCACCTAGGTGGAATAAGCGCAGGATCATCACCCTCCTGATGATGATGATGATGATGATGATGATGATGATGATGTTCTATCTGCGTGTGAATCCGCTTGAATAGATTCCATATTTTGAATGTTGCACATTGATATGCAATACTAGAATTAAGAATTAAGGAGCTTGTGTCCTTACGTAATATATATACACCAAGATGGAATAAGCAGTACGGAAAACACGTGAACAGATCATTAACACATTAGCGCTGCCAACCTTTAAGGGGGCGTCCCTGGTCACTTAATTTACCATACCAAGAACAATCAATCCTAGATAACGCTGGAATTCTTTGAGACTGAGGTACTTCACCGGACGAGCGTGCCCAATTGTGCAACAGTAGAGCCGCTACGTGGCTTACCATAATACTAAGAATACAATAATGATTGATTACGCTACTTAGCAACAGCTAACATAAAGATAACAATTTGACGTTGATAGCTGTGACAACGATGATGACAATGTGGATGAAGATCACAAAACAGTTCGATTTTAACTGCGTAAGGCCTTCGCAAACTACTAAACCTTTAAGGAAGAAAATCGACTCATTCAAATATATGTCATGGGTACATGATTTTGTAAAGCATTTACTGACTGTTCCCAGTTTAAAAGGTAGCGAACGACCGGGCGGTTCACCTGATGTTAAATGATAACCGCCGCCCATTGACATTTGCAACACCCGTAGGGTTTCATTTCGTAGCCACCTTTCAATAAAGCGGGCCCCGGCTATCTCACTCACCAGACGAAACGCAGCAATATAATAACACTTGTTAAACGTGATTGTACGACTTTTTATAAATATAATATCTCTAACCGCTTTGTGAGTTGCGACAAACAAGTTCTCCAACATCGATGTAATATCCCGTACTTTAGAAAGAATGAAACCCAATAAGAAGAGACTCACCGATGAGGGGCCCTATGGCCACGACGAACACGCCCTTGCTGACCATGTGTAGGCCGAACGCCGCCGGCAGCTTCTCCAGGGGGCAGTACTCGGAAATCGTCAGCGTGAAGTTGCTGAGGCACATGCCCCTGAAGAATCCGCAAATCGAGAGCCATATCATCAACGGGACCCACTCACTCTGCTCGGCGAGAACTGAAATGACGAATTGGATTTATTGTTTTTTTTTTTTTTTTTTTTTTTTTTTCAATTATCATTTTACACTAGCTTTTCGCCCGCGGCTTAGCTCGCGTCGAAGCCCTTGAACATCTTTCGACCCTTTACAAAACATTTTTTCCAATTAATTAATTAAAAAATAGCCTATGTTCTTTCTCCGACTCTAGACTATCTGTGTACCAATTCATTTAAATCGGTTCAGTAGTTTTGGAGTGAAAGCGAGACAGACAAACAGAGTTACTTTCGCATTTAAAATATTAGTATGGATTATATCGTATTATTAATATCATGAAAGAGATTTTTTTTCTCTTAATTTTTTTATAATTTTTTCAAAAATATGCTAGTTTCCCTCAGCACCAATGAAATTGTTAATTTATAATTCATTGCTATAAAATGTTAATTAAAAAAAAAAATAATTTAAAATAAATTGTTAATTTAAAATTAGCAATTTCATCGCTGCAGGCATGAACGATCGAACTCAGGTCGCCATATCGTATTGAATTAAAATCGAGCGCCCGAACTATGAGCTATCACGGCCCTTCGGAAAATGCTTCGTTATAAAAATATATTCCGTCCGTATTAAATTTTAAACGGCTTTAATCCGTTCAACATATTCTGCAACATTCTCCTCGCCTATTATTCAAACATCATTGCCATGTCCAATTACTTGCTTCCAATAATTTGCGTCACATGTTGTTAATTTCTGTTCTTTGATAATGTTTATTGTTATGCAAATAGGTATGTTTCTTTTATATGGGTTTTTTCACCTTTTCGATAGTTATGTTATATTGTTTTTATAGTTATGTTTGTACCTATACGAAAGAATGACGCTGTTATTAAATTTATATCTTCGATGTAACGTAAAAATAAAACGATTTTGGTAAAATGTGTTGTAATAATTAAACATTATGATCGTAATTATTAAATGTTATTTACATTATATTCAGCGAATTTAGTTTTCTTTTAATTTTTTATCATTAAGCATTCCTTACTTTTCATTGTCCAAAGCAACTAATGTTATGACAAATATTAACGCGACAAAATGTTACTTGTAATTAGTCGCTAAATAATCCATTTAATTTAACTATATAAATGAATTGTTACATACATCATAATAAACTGTCGCTTATTCATTAACACTAATTAAATACTGCTTATAATGATTTTATGGGCAATTATATAATAAAAGATAATTGCAATAAATACTCAAATGCAATTATAACAAAAGAAGGTTATTATTAATATAAACTTATATAAAACTAGCGACCCGCCCCGGCTTCGCACGGGTGTAATGTATTATACATATAAACCTTTCTCTTGAATCAGTCTATCTAGTAAAAAAAACGCATCAAGATCCGTTGCGTAGTTTTAAAGATCTAAGCATACATAGGGACAGACAGACAGCGGGCCGACTTTGTTTTATACTATGCAGTGATTATTAGGTAAATACTGGACATAAATCAAGTAAAACGAATTCAGTTTGCACTCACCTGACCTCGTCGCTGCTAAAAAGAAGGCGGAAACAAAGAATATCATCTTCTTCGATATGGTCGTTCTGTCAAAAATTGGCGGCAAAATCAACCTAACTAGGATGTCCGTTATGGCGGTCATAGATAAACAGAACGCCGTCTCGTTCATATTATAACCTAAGCTCCTAATGAAAAATGGCGTCAACATTCTGAACTGCAACTCGCCGCTCCAGAATAGCGAGAGGCCAAGTAGGAGGTTCAAGAAGGACCAGTCTTTTAGAAGATCCAAGTCCATCAGAGCTATGAACTTTCTGAAAAATCCCTTCTTCTTCTCTTGCTCGGGCTCCGTTTTCTTTATGGCCTTCATCTGTATCGCATCATCGTCTGCCGTCTGTAATGTAAATATTTCTAAATAAAAAAACTTTGATTGACAAACCGGCTTTTTGGGCATCGTTTCCGATGTATAAAGGTTTTTTTTTTAAATAATATATTTTTCTTACATAGAAGTGATTTTAAATAATAGCATGTTTTAATTTATAAATATATAACTTGAATATAAATTTGTTTTCGTCCGTTAATCGAACATTAAAATAAAACAAAACTGTCGCTCAATATAGCATTGCAGTGATTACGATATATAGGTTACATTTGAAATTAACACCATTTCGCTATTAACACATTTATTGGACACCAAATGATATCTCGCAGCTTTGCATGCTCAAACTAGAGCAAACCTCTAAAGATTTGCTTACGCCTAACCTCAATCTAACGTACCATTTTACTTGTACGTCTTTTAAAAGTATTTCCAATTTAAGTGTTTTGTAGAGGTGGCCTATGTCAGTAGTGGAGTAAAACGGGTCGAAATGATGATGACGACGAAGTTATACACTTCAACACACCTGTTCCGTACAGCATTGACCTTTATAATGCCATACGCAACCGCTTCGTATAAAGCAACAATTGAACGCATTGAAATTTGTAATAAAAATATTGACGAAAAGTTTTTCATTACCGCGCCAATTTCACGCGGACAAACACCCAGATGCGAAACAACCATCCGTGGGTCGCACAAACAGTTCTTCCATGTGGGAATCGAACCCACGACCTCCGACGCCGAAGATACCTCGGCAACTGCGCCACGGACTCGTCATTCAACACCACTTCTACAGCAGTTGGCGGTCGATATGATATCGCCAATGACACAATACATTCAACGCTAATTGTATGAGGACTCCGTGGCGCAGTTGCTAAGGCATTGGGTTCGGCGTCAGGGGTCGTGGGTTCGATTCCCAAACGGGACAACTATTTGTGTGAGCCACAGATAGTTGTTTCGCATCTGGTTGTTTGTCCACGTGAAATTTATGTTTGTAAAACGTCCTTACAACACGGGATAATGTTATCCTAAAGTAAGATATTAATGTATTTTTTAACGAAAGAAAAAAAAAGAAAAAATTCAAAAATAAAGCGAAACGAAACAAGAGTGGTACGCACGTCAAGGTACAGCTGCAGGTAGCTGCCGGTGAAGTCCATGTTGGAAATGTTCGATATGACGGAGAACTTCCTCTTGCGGGCCTCGTTCATGCTGCCGCTGGAGGTGACCCGCTGCATCGCCGCCACGGAAGCGGCCGCGGTGAGGCCCATGCCCAGCTTGGCGCTCCTCTCGAAGTCCTGCAGCGGCTTGTCGCACGTCTTTGCGCGCGGCAAGCCTATCGTGCGGACCGACGGGTGGTTGGCGTTTGTCGGGCGCTGGGCGACGAGCTTGGGCATCGGGTGGCTGACCAGCGGGTTGATCTCGAACTTGTCCTCCTCCTCGTCGCTCTCGTTGATGCACTCCATCTCCTGGGGTGTTTGAGTTTTTTTTTTCTTTTACGTGAGACGGCGCCACGCGAGCTGCCGGACATTTGCAATACCAGTAGGGTTGCAGATGCGGTGCCACCTTTTAGTGAAATTGGCCCCGGCTACCTCACTCACCAGACGAAATGCAAGGTCGTGGTACATACCCGGATGGACCTGCCCATTAGTGCAACAGCCGAAGCTGTAAGTCGCAGTAAAAGTGGCGGTGTCATTAGGATTAAGTTACATCTTTGGCGCTAGTCTCTGCACTCGACATGCAACTTTATATTGTAAACTTCTGCGGACAATCGAAACCCGCGGCTGCGAAAGATTCTGTTCGTTTATATGCAAAAATTCACAATTGAGTTCTTTTTATGTGAACAGTTGTCAACTGTGGTTATGTTAAGTGATTACCGCCACCGATGGACACCTACCACACCCGAAAGAGAGAAGCGCAGGCGGCGCCAACCAGTAAAATTTTAGGCCCCGGTTACCTCACTCACCAGACGGAACTAGATATATCCTTCCACTTTACACCGGTCTTCTGTCTGGCCGTGGTACATCCCCGGACGGGCCTGCCCATTCGTGCAACAGCAGAAGCCGCTGTGTGGCTCTACCACAGTATTATTTACGTATTTAACCCGTATATTTTTAAGTTCATTAGCATGTGTAAAGTAACTGATCGGGCGATCGATGTGTAAAGTAACTGATAGGTGATATCGTTCTACATATGCCGATAGATGGCGCCTGCGTCGTGGCTTGATATTCTAGCTATGAGCTAATGGCGAAAACGAATATGTTTTGTAAATATGACCTCAATCGGTCAAGTTGTACAGAAGTCAAAACTAATATATGCACCGACAATTTATTTGTAAACATTGTTGTATTGTTTAAACTATTTCTTTGTATATAAACATCGCTTATTTTTAGAAACAAACAACCGTAATTACGATGAAACACTTTTAAATTAACGCACCAATAAATTGTATCTCGAGTTTGTTTTACGGATTGCCTTATTAGATTTAGATCTCGATATGGATACCTCAAGTGTATTCAAAGATAAAATCTTACATTGATATCAGATTATTTACAACTTTATCTCTTGACCTAATAGCCTAAATACGATCTATTGGAGTTGTGCAAAAATATCACAAAATCTCAAAACAAATACAAGACCGTATCGCGATGCGTAGTAAAGGAATTCTTAACTTATGCTCTTTGCGTGCGTCTTACGATTGACTTGAAGCTACCAGAAGGATTCTTATCCTGTTTGAATATCAAAAGGCAAGGTCAAAACCAGATGCGATTCTGGCCCGATGTCGTAATATTCAGTTCGATTTCTAGAAACTCGAGTGAAATAGTAACATTCATAAATAACAATACACATGGTAAATATATGCTGAAACAATGATTCATGTGTTATTTACGAGGGGAATTTTCCTAACATATCTATATCGAATCGACTCATATTTCCACTAACGCTCTCATGACCACATTACGCAATTTTTTTATTTAAGGTAATGACATTAAACTACGTAAAATTTCAATTACAAGTAACTATAGTCTAAAGAATGTACTAGAATGTTTATGTTATGAGAGAAGATAAATTAGTATATGTAACATATCACTACTAGGAGTAATTACGGAGCCTTTTTCTACTTTATAGGTACTTATCGAGACCTGTCCCTCATTCAAAAATAAATATGGACCGCCTCTAATGCAGTAAAATCTTAATTTAATCCAATGACGTCATCCGAAATTATTCATAAACCTTTAAAACGTCATTCGTTAAGCAAATCTGTTCTTTTAATGCTCGAGGCTAGCGAGTTTGTGGTTCACCTGATGTTAAATGATATGCGCTGCCCACGACATTTGCAACACCTGTAGTGGCGCAGTTGTGTCGCCATCTTTTAATAAATTGGACCCCGGCTACATCGCTCACCAGGCGAAAGGCAGAAGTATAACACATACATCACTTCCGCTTCACGCCGGTCTTCCCTCTGTGAGGTAAGTACTTCTCCGGACGGACCTGCCCATTCGTGCAACAGCCGAGTCTGCTGCGTGGCCCTACCACTGAAGCGATTTACAACGGCACCTTAGTGTTGCCCCATTCCTTGCGATACACTTAACAGGCCTTGAGTATTTTCACCCTACCGAAATAATATACATACAAAGAAGACCAGAACAGAAAATTAGACAGACCTTCACTGGTTGCATTTCGCAGTCGACCGGTTCGTCGATGAGGTGCCTCTTCACCGGCTGCAGAAGGCACGAGCCGAGGACCGCGTGGAAGGCGAGAGCACCCAATATCACCACCGTCCACCTGAACCCGTACTCGCCGAGCAATATCTTCACCAGCTGCGGCATCACCATCAAGCCGAAGCCTGTTCCCGCCATAGACAAACCAACGGCCTGACCCCGCTTCTTGGAGAAGTAGTGATTGAGCGATACGAACGAAGAGGAAGACGCGAGGCCGACCCCGAAACCTGAAAATGGAGGGATTTTTTTTTGTGAAAGCTAACAAGCGATGCGGCCCTTTTATTGGGTGAACCGCCGCCCATTGGCATCTATTATAATATAACCTATTAAACATTACATGTAGACCATTACTTATATCTATTATATATTATACAACATTCGATGGCTTGCATATGCGATGACAATCTTCAGAAGACATCATTGATCATTAAAATATGCAGAAAAAGTGCGAAAAGATTGTCGCCGCTGTGGGAATCGAACCCACGTCTTCGGCATTCGGCCTGACGCTCTAGCCACTGAGCTAAACGGCTGATTGCCACACCGACGAAAATCTTAACGTATTCTTCTACATTGTTTTTATTGCATATTTTAATGTTCAATCTTAAGTGCAAAGATTAGCACTATAAACAATTTAAATTTCAGACATCATTGATGTCAATTAAAGACAATGAGACAGTATAAGCTCTTTTAGAATTAAGTGCAAAAGAACTCTCTCTCTCTTCTCTTTTGAAAAAGTTTGTAATCTATGTTATATATTCTACACTAAAGTTAATGCTTTTCATTTAATACATTAAAATATACATGAAAAAGTACAGTATACCATTACTTGAAATTTATACTACGCTTTTTTCGACGGTAAACTCTAAATAGGTAGTAACAGCTTTGTAATTAAATTACTGGAACAACTTGGCTATAACTCTTTTACAGCCGTCTCCATTCAAATGTTCAGTGGAATCTAGGAGTGTAGAGTTATTAAAGTCTTTTTCGTTTACTTTATTCTGGTCTTTCACTATTTATGCTACAAACTTTTATAATAAGAATGACTATACTTATAAACTTCCGCTACTCGGTAAGATATTCCTATATAGATTTAATATTACAGCACATATTTTTACTTGTTAAACAACTTTATCATCAATTGAAAGATCAATTTTTCACAAGTTTCATAAGCTTTCAAAATAAACTTAAAAGTCAATTTTTGTTATTAAGTTTTTAAGTCAAAGCCCTAATTTCTTTATTCAAAGTAGGCTTCATTAAAGCTCTTTATGAACGTCAAAAACTACCAGTTGTCTGGTGTCGACTAATTATATTTAAAATATCATCTTAGTTAAGTAAAAGATATCCATATTAAGACACCAATTGGCATATTTTAAAATATTTTTTATGTAAGAAGGGATTCTGTTCTTGGTGGTTGTAAAGGTCCTTCAATATCAGTTCTTTCCACAAAGGGGTCGTGCTTAGAAGCAAATCTCTCAAAATCCACAAAGAGTTGGATGCATTTATATCGAAGAATTTATGCTTTTGTGTTTTATCGTTTCTTACGTTATAAAAAAAAAAACAGGTAGACAAATCACTTCCTTGGGACACTTCCCATGGTTAATATGAAAAAGCATTGAAAACAAATGATATTATATACAAAAACGAGGTAGATATGGCACTTTAGCACCAAAATTCAAGCACTCCTATAACTCCAATTGGTGCAATTAGATTGAAATTATATAGACTACTATCACTTTCCGTAGCATATAATCTAAATCAAAAACATTTTTAAACGCCTTATAATTTAAATGGGAAAAATTTTTAAACGCCGCGTAGTATGGGCATACGTCATGTTTATTAAGGAATCATTGGTTGAAAACAGAAGATATATGATTTACTATTATACACAGAAAACATTAAATCTCGATTTGGGGCGGGCTAAATTTACTCATTGTTTTAAATATATGATTTCGCTTTTATCTCTAAAAAGGTCATTAAACATTCCATAATCCTTCAATGTTATTTTATTTAACAAGGGCGTGAAACAATTTATTTTATGATCAATTTGCGTCAACAACTACCAGCGACATTAAAAATGTCACGCGAAGCGGCGGACTAAGTGCTTCCTAATTTGTCACAAACAGGAAAGCGTTTTATAATGCTCATATTAGCTTGACCCATGTGTATTTGCGTACATATAATTAAACCGTAAAATTTATTTTTTTCACTGTAAAAAAAGCTGATTTTATTATTAAAATTTGTAGAAAAAGTACGAAAAGATTGTCGCCGCTGTAGGAATCGAACCCACGTCTTCGGCATTCGCGGCCTGACACTCTTGAACAGCTGATTTCCACACCGACAAAAATCTTAACGTCTTTTATCGACATTGTTTTTTTATTATTTGAAGCAATGCTTGGCGCATCCGACAGCGGCGACAATCTTTTCGTACTTTTTCTACTAATTTTAATGGTCAATGTTAAGTGCAAAAATTATCACTATAAAAAATTTCTAATTTTATTATGTTATAAAAGTAAATTAACAGCCTGTATATGTCCCACTGCTGGGAAAAGGGAAAAAGAGAGCCCCTCTGAAGAGAGGGTATAACGGCATAGTCCACCACGCGGCCCCACTGCGAACTGCATGTCACATATCTTCAAAATATATTTTTTTATTATTCCATGATGTTATCCATTTCCGTTGGGCACATGATAAGTCAGCTCTTAAAACTAACAATTTTATCGGTGCCGGCACCCGGATTTGAACTCGAATATATTAAGTTAAAAGCTATCCCTAAAACTGAGCTATCACGGCGATTATATTGTGGGCTGTCATTTATTATGTAACAAAAAACGATAATGGCTAAATGTGCAACTATTTTCACTAAACGCATGAGAAAGTATTGTTAAAATTTAAAAATAAATTGGTGTAATTAAAACGCTAATGAAAAATATCTAATTAGCTTAATACACAGTTTAAATCTATTTTACTAGTTAGGTAAGATGAAGACAAAGATGGATGAACAAAAATTGTTAAAGCATCTTAGCACAAATTAGTCATCTTCGAGATTTTACAATAATAGCATTTACAATGGCTCACGATTGTGGTAACTAAATTCGAGTAATTGATATCAATATCGTTCACCGTACCTCGTCTTAACAGACTTTATATTAACTGGAGATCAATAACATAAAAACTTCAATCCTCACAAGGCGTCCCTAGTCACATACTAATTTAAAGACGTAACATTTAAAGCAATTCGCATTTACGCCAAAATTTCGCAAAAAAAACACAATTACATAGCAACTTTTATAGTGGTACAAGAATTTCCTGCAATATATGGTAGTGTCAACACTCGGCAGAACATCACGGTACAAAAAACTTCGTAATAAATTTACCAAGGCCTCGTGGATTCATTCTTCCTTAAACGTATTTCAACTACCAAAAGGAATTAACGTGAGGATAGCACAAGTTTCCATTATGACCTTTATAATCTCATTGCATTACGAATACGAAGTAGGTTCTTTGGCGGTCCTGTTGTGGATATTAGCGATCGAAAAAGAAGGTATAGACAGAATATTAATAATGCAATGCATTGTTCCATTTGCCACCAACTTGAGACAAGGAGAAAACTTAATAGAAATTTAAACTAACCTTATCGAAGTTCAGATATAAAATGTTTTAAAATTGAAAATACATAAAGGGTCATGTTTATTTGTAAATAAAAACCGGCTTGTCGTACAACAGTTTCATAAATTTCTTACAAGAACTAATTGAAATCTAATAAAGTATGTCTTCATATTAATGTAAAAAAATATATATTCCGATGAATTCCACGGTAATAAAAGTAGTATGTACATTTCATATCTGAATGAAAGTAGTAAGTACATTTCGTATCTGTCTGTTTCATTTTTATTATTAACCTCGACTAAACCACGGTACTGATTTCAAAGCGATAGTTGTTACTCTGCAAGTAATGTTCTAGAAAAAACATAAAAACATGCACGCGACGATCGTTTTACCCATGTAGTTTTTATGTGTTGAGAACAATGACTCGTTGATTTAGTCGTTACGTGAACATCTGTATGGAATAACTTACTTGACTTAATGATTGGAAAATACCTGCATATTTTTACAGTCGTAAATTCCTAAGTTCGGTTTTATGCCACAGCACTGAACCTAAGGAAGGAAATCATCATGCCTTCCTTGTCTATCAGATGCTTGCGAACTGAATACGCAAATATATAATGAATGACATTGCTTTTAATAGGAAAAGTGGCTTTGAAGGCTGCTTCGCCTGATATTCTTGCTATTGAGGCTCTTTTAATTTGAGCAAATGTTCGCAAATGGTAGAGGACTTGCAAATGTTTACAGGCTTGAACAGGTTATTGACCTGACACTAACGGTGCGCATCAATTCAACGACGCATTGATGATATGTTAAATAACCACTAATGAAAAAAAAATTAAATTACAATTTGTAATTAAAAGTCATGCAATTAATAAGATCATCTCAATGGGCGTCATATTACACAAATTACCTTTGACCCATCTAAATTACACGAGTCAATTATTTTGTAAACAGAACATTCAACACATAAAATGGCTCAGCACTAATGTTACCTACTTACTACAATGACCTTCCTAAATATATGTCATTAAAATTTTGAAAGAATAACACAAGATAACACAAGTTCGTAAATGAAAAGAAGACAAAATAATATTCTTTTGTCTGCGAAATGAATATATATTCAATCGATAATAATTTCTGAAGGTAACCGGTTTAATTGCAGCAACAACGTAACATTAACATAATTGACGTAACTGCCGTAATTATAACTAACCGCGATTTAGGATTATACTAAATCACAGTTAACCATGAATTGAACTTATTACGACGTAGTGCTTTATAAAATAAATTGTATTGTTAAAATCATGTAACACAGTGTTATAAACATGAAGGATTTTCTTCCTTCGTCGAGACTAAAATGGTATGTAAATACTTTATCATAATGTGTGGTCGCGTGTGCTTTCATTGAACATGTTAAGTCTAACAACTTTGCAACAATAACAAAATTACTTACAATATTATTTTTAACGAAAAAAAATGGAATATAAAAACACCATTCTAAAATAAAACTATTAAGACGTGAAAATTTATGCATGCTGCATGGTCACGAGACAATATGTCTCAATTTGACGATAGCACGATGATCTTCAACTATAGATTATGTAAATTTCTTGAAAGATCGAGAATTTTAAATAGAATAAAACTCCATAAACAAGTTTTTATTAAACAATTTGTAAAATTCTCTTAAACGTAAAAAATCACTATCCAAAAAATGCATTCATTATTTTAATTGATTAACCGTTTACTACAGATATTACCAATATTGCTGGCGTTTTAATAGTTCAAAAGGAGTGCATACAAAAACATTCGTATAATACGGTGACAGTGATTGGTTTTATTGTGTAAATATAAATTTAATGATTACTTACCACCCAAAATGCTGTAGGTGGCCAAAATGTGTCCCATGCTGTTAGCTGGCGCGGTGAACAGCAGACCGAGGGCGCATATCGTCGATCCGACGAAGCAGACCTTCCTATACGAGAAGGTCTTTATAACGGGACCCACGAAGAACCCGGAGAAGTTCACCACCGAGTCCAGGGTGCTGGCGATCACGGAAGCGCCCGTCGTGTGGACACCCAGGTCGTCCAGCAGGTCTTTGAATAGGAGACCGAACGAAGGCTCCAATGATCGGGTTGAAAACTGAAACGATAACTTACACTGAAAGCGATAACCAATGGATGATGGAGAAAAAATTGGTTGGCTGCGACTCAAAGTCTACCACGAGGTTGGCATATCCTATTAGCTTATTAATCACAGAGGCCAAATGTGGTAGGGCCTAACAACAACTTCGGCTGTTGCACGAATGGGCAGTGCCCTCCGGGCAAGTACCACGACCTCACAGAAGATCGGCAAGCAGAGGAATTGTCATACCTCTGCGTTTCGACTGGTGAGGTAGACGGGGCTCACTTTATTAAATGTGGCAACACATCTGCAACTCTACGGGTGTTGCCAATATGGTCGGCGGTTATCACTTAACATCAGGTGTTCTACCAGCTCTCTTGCCAACTTCTCACTTAAAAAACGCCTTTTTAATTTACCGTGTTACGACTCCGATATTCATCTACACAATAATTTAAGTGTTTAGAAGCAATAGAAGGCAAGAGTCATTTTTTTTTTAATTTTAGGGCATTGAATATAACCTAAACCGTAAAGTCATCATGTTACGAATCTGTTTTAGTTTACTGATAAAATACGCTAAATATCAAATATAAAAATATCTAAATATCAATTAATATATCAAATAAATATCGATAAGCTAAAAGACAAAGTAGTAAAAGTCTTGCCTGTTAACTTAAAAGAAACCATCAAACAGAGTTACACAATATTAAAATTACGCAACTTCAAATCTGTTATTCATGCTAAATTCGCTTAAAGGCACATCAGACGTGCACGTAGTCACGTTACAGCCGAATACCAAGAATTGATAAACGCATTTATTGACATATATACGCCACAATATATATTAGGGTAGGTTTTAACACTATGTTCTTGGCTCGTGATAACGATAAAGATAGAAAAATATAATGCTATGGTTTTGTAATAAATAAAGTACATATTCAAAATAACAGTCAATAATCCCAAATAAGAGAGACGTGTGTAATTTTTAATGGTGTAAATATTCGGTTGATACATTTTTTTTATTTCTCCCGATCATAAGCTGAAGAATTATAATGATACATCAATGTTTAATGTATTACTTAAAGTTAAACTAGGGTTAATTTAGCCCATTTGACGGAACAAAAAACATATTTATAAAGTTCTTGTATATTCGACAATATACAAGATCTGTAGTCTGGAAAATATTTGGTCCAAAGCGTTCCGATATAAACTGAATTGTGCCTATACTACTCAATGCTTCCATCCTTTGTTATTGTTGCTGTATACAGGCCAATGCCCCTTGATGACAGCATAACAAAGATATGTACGTAAATTATTAATGTGTACCAAAAAATATGCTACAAGTTAGTAGTTTGTACGCATTTTAATATGCAGATTAATATTATTACATTAAAACCAGCGGCTCCGATAGACATTGTCTTATATATGGCTTAAATCCGATTTTTATAATATATAAGTTTAATGATAAATAAGTTTATGAATCTATAAACCATTCTCGAATCGACCTGAAGACAAAAAAAAATGAAAATTTCATTAAAATCGGTCCATCCGTTTAGGAGGAGTTCAGTGATAAACACACGGACAGAAGAAGTGTAAATAAATGGACAAAAACGTTCAACGCTGCATTATTAGAATGTGCGTTCTCTTTGAGTATAGAGACCAGTACTAAAATTAAAATTTATCATATATATACATATATTATTACATTAATAACAATTAAAACTCTAATTTTACTAAAACTCAAACGGTTCGAATATACAATGTTCTTCTACTAAAGTGCCCCTGCATTATTGAACGTTGGTTCTGACGATCTGTCTCTATCTAGAGCCACACACTTTCGAAAATATTTAATATAATAATATTAATATAGTATTAATATTTAATATAATAATTTAATATTAATATTTCTATAACATCTTTTATTTCTGAAACGTGCAATTTCCACATGATGTATTCCGTTCAACGAGCACGTGACGAGTGAGTGCAACATTCTTATCGCATTTTTAACGAACTTTCCTCAACAACGCTGTATTATGGATCTTATCGCGGTTTAGTTTAATATTTTAATCCCCGACTTTTGAAAGACTGCATCAATAATGAGGATGCGAATTTGCATTAATATTATAAAACGTTCGAAGTAATAAAAAACCGGCCAAGTGCGAGTCGGACTCATGTACGGGGTACCATTATCTCTAAAAACTGAATAAAAGTCATGTCTGCTGTTTGTTTGTCATTGTTCTGAATAAAAGTCACTTAAATAGTTTTTATTCTGTTTTTTAGTATTTGGTTTTATAGCGGCAACAGAAATACATCATCTGTGAAAAATTTCAACTGTCTAACTATCATGGTTCATGAGATACAGCCTGGTGACAGACGGACAAACAGACAGACAGCGGAGTCTTAGTAATAGGTTTTACCCTTTGGGTACGGAATTTTGGCATGACCAGAAACGGACAGGAACTCTGCGGTCCATTTTATAACGATTTTCGTTTGCAAGAGATGGGTCGAACGAGTAGTGCAACATCGAAGGCGTGGCCCTACCACAGGGATGATCCACAAACACATATTTGGGTGTTTATGCCAGTGATTTCTATTTTGTGAATTCGTGCATAAATAAACAACTAAATATCTGGTTTAATAGGCAATACAAGTATGATGTTTCAACGGACACAAATGTGCCGAGCAAGAGTTAATTTGTTCAAAAAATAAAAATTCACTCTAGCTAGTCAGTAGTTTAGTAGGTAATTAAACATACTATGTACCACATTCAATAAAAGTAAAAATTATTTTAATTTTCTTTTTCCGTTGTTCTAATTTTCTTCTTTTTTTCTTTTACTTATAATTTTAACTATCATCATTCTGGATATGCTATCTGAAAATACTTAAATTATTATAAATCAGCTGTGATGAGGTTTAACTGACAACGTTATCAATGCCGCCTAATCTTTGCAACTAAAAATAGCTCCAACGCGTTCTATTCAGCGTCTAAAAATAAGTAAGCGCGCTTTTTTATAACCCGCCGCGGTGTACGTGTCTCCGTGTCGTGTTATTTCGGAATGTTTAATATCCAAAACCGGGCCGAGCACTATTTAGATTGTTGCCTCGCGTTAATTGTAATGTGGAAGACTTAAATTTATAAAGGCATGTACATATAAAATACACCCTTACATATACAAACACCGTTACTCACCCAATACTGCAAAAATATTGTGTGACGACAAATGTGAAACATAATATCTCGAAAAATGGCTAGAATTATCTTTTTTTAACAATCAGTTTCACGTGGTTAAATGTAAGGGTTTTACGGATTTTATTGCGTTTTATTTCGATTTTTACAGCGTTCACGGTTGCATATCCAATAAATAAAAAAAGTCTTTTATTTATTGGACATGCTCGATTCCCTAGAATGATTTATTTCCGCCAAAAACATTCTACAAGTCAGTGGCTAATTGGATTTAACCAATATCAGATCACTTTGATAAACATTCAGTTACATTGTTACCTTATATATAATTGTCTAAAATGACACCTCACTGTACCTGACCATGATAGATAACATATTATGTTTGTTCCGGGCAGATATTATTCCAACGTCATGGCTGTTATATGGTCGAATCCAATAGCGCACTGATTATTAATGCCTCCTCTAGCCGAGTCATTGTTCCTTTCTTTGTTATAATATTATCGATTTGATTATCTAATGTACTACAAAATATACTATCACTGATGAAGATTGTACATCTCTACAGGAAGATTTTGTTTTGGCATTTATTATTTGCATTAAAAAAAAAAGAAACACCATCGCGAAAGTTATATAAAGATGATAGCACTGATGCAAGTTATAACCAGACCCGAAACATTAAATTATAAAAGCTCGCAAAAATGCGCCCTTTTCTAGGGATCGAACCAACAACACGACACGTCGCACCGAAGTATCGATTGTGCAAAATTTGAATTAGTAGTAAAATAAGTAATAATTATATTACTTATTTTACTCACATATATGATCGAAGTATACTTAGAAATTTACCGCCATATTTTTTATCGCAACTGCTTAATCATACGTCCTTGTATAAATCGTGATCGACAGCTATCTTTGTAAAGTTCAATAACCAGATAAATTCTTAGCAAACATCTTTTGATTGCGTTTACTTTAAAAGCAAATCTGATAAATATATTTTAATACTTTAAATTCGAGTCTTATTAAAGCACACTGCCTTAGGGTTAAGTTAAAAAAAATCACGTTAATGCTTCATGATACAAATATCAGAACAATAGAAAGTATAATTTTAACGCGTAAAATTTGATTATGGATAAAAGTGAAGAATTCCTTGAGCGGATACTGTTGAATACAGGCAATACAAAATTTATGCGTCAACATTCTCGACGATTTTAATATAGGTCAATGATTTCTAGTTTTGGTCTCTACGCAATTTACTACTCGAATGGCATCCAAATTGTTCATATTAGATGGGCATAATTAGAATTGAGGCTGCAGAGGCGTATTTTTGAGGTTCTTTATAGCGTGGAGGCTGCTGGCGTATTTGTGACATTCTTTTGTGGAAATTTTAACGTTATTCAAGCTGTGATAGCGGGAAAAGCAGCTTTGACCAGACATCTCATATGCGAATGCATAATGTAAGTAATGGTTGATTTCAAAATTATTGATTGACGCCCGGTTTCTGAAACACTGATCATCGTAGAAGTCAACTAATCAGCTGCTAAATGGATTTTCATATGTTATTTGAGTTGCCAAAAGGATTGTTAAACTCTCTAAATTAATCAGGATGGTCTTCTTAATGATCAGAATGAATCCATTTGACAGCTGATTAGTTGACTTTTACGATGATCATCGTCGTCAACCAATACTTTTATTATGCATTCAGTCGAGCATTCACAAATGTTAATTTAGAAAGAAGTACATGGGTTTGATAATGATTTAACGACAGATTTATAGACATTAATCGCAAGTGCCCACCACATCAGACCATATTTTTTGCGAACGTAAGTGTATTACGAACATAATTTATTTATTTATTTATACTTCATTATTACACCTTAGGCTATGGGCTACAATGGGCGGACTTAATGCCTAATGGCATTCTCTACCAATCAACCCTTGTCATGGTGGGAAGTAGATGGCAGATGCTAAATCGAAGAGTAAATATAAGAATAAAGAACATAATCATGATAGATTGGTACTTACATTGACTAAACTAACCCCCAAGCATACCATCCACGCCCAGCCACCGTCTGGCGCGACCTTCCGCGTCGCCGGCGCCATTTTCTTCTCCGAACCTTTGCTCTTCTCCACCGTCATTTTCAGCCTTTGTCACCTTAGCACCTGCGACAAAATATCCCACGATCAATAATTGTAATTAACGCCTCGGAACTAACTATTACCAAAAGTAAAGTAACAGCCTATACGATTCCCACAGCTGGGCAAAGGATCTCCTCTGTACAGAGGGTATTATTAGGGCCTCACGATATTTTCTTTCACCGCTGAGTACGTGATAATTCAGCACCTAAAATTTACAATCTCATTGGTTGCTCGAATATATTAAAGTAAAAGCGTTTTTTTATTACAAGAACAGATCGACGGGACCATTTACCAGTTTTAGAAACCGCCACCTGTGATAAAAAGACCTATGATGTGCTCGGCAACAGTTTTATTTTGTACACAACGGACAGTTTTATTTTGTACACAACATTTCATCACATTGTTAATGAATGAAATACTTTAAGCTCCCTAATCGGTTATCGCGAAGAAACGACTTAAAGCAACGGCCGATGCTTTGAGCCATTTCTTAGTGTGGTATTAATGTAGAAAGAGGAACAAAGTCCTAGTTTATGCAACAAATTATTCGAATTTGGGTACAGTTATCAAGCTAAATTATTTTACACTTAAAGATAACTCTTATTCGAGGAAGTGTAATCAAAATTTTATTACAACCATGCAAAGAACTTTTTTTTACACGTCCGGCCTCACTTTTCCGGTGTTTACAATAGTGGTAGTAAAGCTCTTCTTGATATCATTCACACACCCAATATAGAGTCGTCCTACGTGCCACTTGCGTCACGCAACCTCAGTAGGCATCGTTTACGCAATGACTTCGATGGGAGCAGAGTTCTTGTGCATCCGCGGCTTTTGTCACCCCTAGCCGGAGCGTCCGTCGATTTGCATGAGCTCTCGACATAGCGACGGACGTGTCGATAATCACGAAGCTACACGCGAAAGCGGGCAGCGTTCGTTTTTTTTTTTTTTGGCCCGAGACGACCTCGTGGCGAGGCACGTGGTCGCCGATTCGACGCACGCACGGGCGTCTCGCGTGATTGGCGGCGGACACTTCGTGCCAGCCGCCTGGCTTAGGCCGCCGGCACACGATAGACTGGGCCGCGCGAACGTTTTACGGCGAAACTAGAGGCTTTGCCGTCGCAACGAAACCGTTAGGTGTTCACAATTATTGTTTGAAAATGATATAATCATTTACAATAGAGGCGTAAATCGTTTGTCTCTTTTAAATTCATTCAACCCATTCATATGCTTTGTGACCTATACAAATGAACTTTACGTTATAGTTTTATACGTAAGGGTGTTCTAAATTTTTTTGTTTTGGAAAATTTAATAACTCGGTAAATATTGATGTTTAAAGAATGTAAATGTTTAATACAATTTTAAAAAGTTATCCTCTATATGTGTGTCCATTTATTGTCGCGGTGGTAACGACACGCTGTATAATGAAATACAAATGAATTTAACGACATATTTCATCAAAATCGGTTCAGCCCTTCTGATGTTTCGAGGAAACATAGGGTTGGACATACATACATACATGTAACACATGACACTCCTTTTTTTCCTCGCCGTAGTTGGGTAAAAAGACTTTCTCAGAATTAATTACGATGGTCACTCGACCCAATTCACTAGATGGCCTAACACTCTCCTACCTAATCTAAGGCCCCTTATCGAACGGGATAAGTGTTTACTGCTTTTAAGTATCTTTCTTATTTTACACAGCAGATAAATAAAAAATATTCTTTTAATCTACCCCGTTAACTTTATATGATATGCACGTTGACTAGGCCTAAAAAATTAACTAATAATTTCTGTATAATTTATTGTTTATTTTTTCTCATTTTTTCTTATTACTAAACCCTTCCAAAAACCCCACAGCATCAGCCTATCCTATGTTTTAGACGTTTCAACATTCAAACAAACACGAAGATTCAGAACAAGTACCTATATGCAAGTCAAATAAATACTTGCTCGAACGAGAATCGAAAGAACAAGCAGCGACGCCGCCAACAACACCATAAATCATTTAAATTATGCATATTTATTTATTTCAAAACCTAGTACTAAATGGCCTAAATACTTACATTTTTCATTATACAATAAATATATGTACACAATTCGTAAAAATGTAGTATACAGAGACGGCTTTTCTGCACGTTTCATTATTAAGGGAGAATGATTAATATTTAACTATAATATATAAATATATTATATATAGCTCATTGTGGAATGCAGACTTAACAATGAATTTAATAACACTGTGGCAGATTAATCAAATGGCGTTATGGGCCTTGGTTCGATAACTTTCGATGATACTGTGTCGAATTGATCGATAACGCACGCTCTTAATTGAAATGGAAGCTTGATGTATCGAACGCGCCCTTTATAAGCGTGATTCCGTGTTGAATTATTTATATTAATGGAGCGAGTAAGGAGCCAATAAGCCCGCATGGGCTGAACTTGTTCGACACATTTCGGTATACTGTGGTCTCTATGTAACTCGGCTATTAGAATATATTGATGATGCACCGTTGTGCCCTTTGTGCTGTCATGTGACAACATTAGTAACGCCAAATGCTATGTTAATTGTCGCACTATTTGGTCCGATGAATGTCACTATTAATTCGTATTTGGCTAGTCTCTATACGTGCGAAATTAATGATTAAATAAGCAATTCCATCTACATTAAACTACATTAAGGGTTCGTTCGGTTATTTTCTTAGGTTCCCGACGCACGGGCGGTCGAAACTGCTATATGAGGTACATAGAATTTTTGTTACAAATTGCATTTAAAAAAAAATACCTATCGAAAGATCTCATCATTCTGATGAACAGTTATTATTAAACTTTTCTTTTACCTATCGGAAGAAGCATCAAAGACTCTAAATAAACTTTCGTAAATATAGAGAGGACTAAATCATGTAAATCATTCTGAACAACTCAAATGACATTTGAGAAGCCATTTGACATCTAATTAGTTAATTTTTACGATGATCAGTGTTTCAGACACCGGGCAAAGATGGGATAAAAAATCGGCAAACTAGTTTCTTAATAAACTTACAGTGTTATGTATTTTAACAAGTCCTCAATTTCTGCTTTGTCATTGTCGTCGAAGTAAAATTGTTATCTATTTACATATTATGGTGCAACTTTTCTGCCATTGATATTTCGCAACAATTTCATTTCGTAGTTCGTCTTACGCACGAACTTAAACAGCTATCAGTGACAGCGTCTTGTCGTAATCTACTGTTTCTTTTAGTATTTATTGCACATTGTTTTCTTTACTACATATAGTTAACTAATAGAGCATAAATGATATGAAAAATTTCTCCTAGTTCAGGAGCCGAATATCACCAAATGTCATAACAATAACTGGCTTATAGTTTACCGAGTTTTACATGTTCTAATTTCATCATGGATTTGTGCATTCTAACCGGATATTAGAAACTTATAAATGTAATTATAAATAATAAACAGAGACGAAAAAATCATGGAATGCACATACCTATGCATTCCATGATGGTAAGCTATGGTAATCGAAAGATATAATGCAAACTTAAGAAGAATAGGACACTTGGAGGCATTTTGCCGTTTTACGAATTGAAATAATAGGTTATTACTATGTGAATAAAATAAATAGCAACATGGTAAGAAACATTAGAAAAGTACCAATCTGTTACATCTAGAATGAATTTCAAGTTTAACAAGTAATTTAAATATTAAATGTTAAGGACGAACTGTAACTCCTTCACATCTCAACAAGAAGCCAAAGAAGAATAAAGCCGTATAAGAAACAATAACAGTGTTATGGTTATAGTGGAAGATTTGAAAAACGTAATTGAATTACTGGAAACACTAAACATCATTAGTGTTTCAAAGAAGCGTAAGAATCTGTTTTAATTCATCTCTAAGGCAAATTTAAATAGAATAATAAAAAAAAAAAAATTCACGCTTTAATACATAGAAAGTAAAATGTATAATCTAATTTAATATTCATCGCAATGCTAAATATAATTCTAAAGTAGACTATATTATAACCGTTACACCAACATACGTTTCACCAAATCGGCTAAATGTAAATATGTATAAAGTAACGAGGAGGCCTTTGCAGCGGTGCATTTACTTTACTAAAATAAAGTAAGTAACGGCCAACATAATATGTCCCAAGGCCGGACAAAGGCCTACTATGTACATACATAGGATTTAGGGCATAGTGGATACGCGACCCCACTGCGGATTGACGGACACGCATCTTCGAAATATTTTTTTCTTATTATTTCGAAAATATGCAGGTTTCCTGCTTCCTCGGGATGCTTTCGTTTACCGCTAAGCACTTGATGAGTCATCTTAAAATTAACAATTTCATTGGTGCCGGCACCGGGGATTGAACTCAAGTTGCTCGGGTATATCGAGTTAAAAGTGAGCGCACGGACAATAAGCTATCACGGCTCTGTAGATATGTAACAAGTTTAATACAACATACATACTTGGACTTGGACCAAGTCTAGTGTCTTACGCAACATAAATGTAAAATACATTACGAATATATAGACTACTACGGTCTACTATCTTAAGAAGATAGTCTAACGACTCACCATACTTAAAATATTTAAGTTATACCGGGCCATTTCAAACTATAAATGGCTTATACATGAATTTAGTGATAATTTATTATCGCATTAGGTCTTTTATTAGGTCGACCTATTTCGATACAAACGATATCTAGTCAATATATGTTCAATAAATATAACAAATATTTTTGTTACTTTGTAACTTTATTGCCAAGCGTATCTTTAAAATACTTTCGGGCGTTGTACTCAGTCGTAATGTTTGAACTTGCAAAAAACACCTAACCAACCCATTGCACGAACACGTCCGTCGACATAAGTTTTTTGGGCACTTTTTTCGCGTCATCGTTAAGCTGGCCAAAAACTTTCCATGCCGCTCTCACCGACTTTGGCCCACGCTTAAAACAGTTTCGAAATAATACAATATGAGTAACAAAGCATATGGGCGAAGGAATA